TTTTTTTTTGTTTTGTTTATAATTTATTTTAAGTTGTAAAAACTTGCAGGAGTAACAAAAAACAAAAAAAAAAATCTCAGCAACAAAATAACCCTCTGAGTTATAAACTCTTACACTCGAAGAGGGAAAACAAAGGTTGAGAGATTAAGTGGCTGCTTCTGAGAAATAATGTCTCGACAGGGACTAACGGAGCAATTCAATAGGTTTCGATGTGTGAGCTGTCTCCATCTGGAATTGCAAGCTGGAATAAAGAGGCCCCCCACCGATGCTGCTTACTTGGTGAAAGACTGGCTCTGACCAAGGTGAGGACATTGCTGGAAAACTGAGCAAAAAAGGGAAAACCCACGGTGTTTCTTCCTTCACAATCAACCACAGGTTTACTTTATAACGATGTATTAAAAACTCACAGCTTGAAAAGTGGAATGCAAATAAAAGGTTTTCTTTGGGTTTGTTTTAATGGAGTTCAACTGGACCAGCCTATTAAGCATTATTAGGGTGATCTCCTTTGGGTACTTCTGCTCATCCCCCCCAACCCCTCCCTTCCCAGCCCCTTGACTGCACACACACACACACACACACACACACACATCACCACCACCTCCACCCCACCCCCCATCTACCTGAAGATCTCGTGACTTGTCGCCAGCCATAGAGGCTCGAAAGCTCTGGTTGTTAAGCATAACACAATGCATAGACCTGTCAGCCATAAAAAAAAAGCGACTTGGATAACTTGTATGCCTTCTTTTGTATCAATGTACCAATTGTAAATAATGCTGATCAACTTTGTAGAGAATAGTTTCTACAGCATATTCTATTATTGCTGATTCTCAGTGAACTCTTGTTTTCAAAAAGGAAAAAAAGAAATTTTCTATTTACACCTTATATTTTGTTATGCCGTCGGCCCATGGCACTTTAACAAAACTCTGTGGGTTTCACGTAGCTGGTCAGTCATGGGGTATATTCAATAACTGTTGTTGCACAGACAAGAATTTGCACCTGCTCATTTGTCCTTTCCTACTACCGATTTTTAGAACCTTTTCCAGAAGAATTTTGGAGAAAGCATGTCCAAACATTCTAAACAAATGCCACACTTGTGGAGTGGGTTTCTTTTCTACGATCCATATTTTGTAACACTAAGTATTTTCCTTCTTTGTCCCATACCTTTACATATTAGCACTACCAGATAGAATTCATTCCATGCCTGTGATATTGTAAGCAGAATAAATGTCTAAAGTAGGTGTAAATAGTAAATTCTATGGCTTACAGTTTTAAAAGGAAAGAACAAACACGTATCTATTGATACTGCCATGGTTTCAGCACCAGGCCTGGAGACATTCTCCAGTGAGCGATTGTAATTTTTTTTTTTTTTTTTTGCTTTTTTTTTTTTGTAACATGGCTTTGTAAATAAAATAATTTATATGTTTGTAAAACAAAGTCTTCGGGTTTTCATAAAATTTAGATGTTTGTCATTTCTTTTTTCTTTTGGATGAAAGTGCTCCCACCTGATGAGCGTTCCTGCTAAAATACACATTTGCTAGAAGAGAGGGAATTCATTCAACACATGTTTATGGAGCATCTTGTCGTGGCTGCCCCTGAGCTAGGCGCTCTGTGTTCAGCGAAGAGAAACAGACACAGTCCCAGCTGCTTTCTGGAAGCAACCCAGTGGGGAAGACAGTAAATAAATAAACACATGATCAAATGTGTAATTACAGATTGTGGCAAATGCCGTGGTGGAAAAGATCGAGTTCTGTGAGAGAAAAGAACAGGAGAAGCCAATGTAAAATTGGGGGGGGGGTGCTATCAGGGAGTCCTCCCTGAGGAAGTGAGCTGAAGGCACAGAGTGTGGGGGACAGAATCCCAGGCAGAGATGGTCCAAGGTTAGGAAAAACTTGCAAGTTCTTGAGGAATCTTAAGGAGCCTAAGGAAGATCCACTGTGGATGGAGCAGAGGGAGAAAGATGGACAGAAGGCAGGGCAAGGTCACACACAGTCTGGATTTCATGCTCAGTTCAATGGGAATCCTTTGAAGGACTTTAAGTAGAGACACAGCAGAATCTGCTAAGAGTACTGGCTGCTGTATGGAGAATCACTCAGAAGCTATTTCAAGAGACCAGGTAGATATGTCGTGTGGTCTCAGGATGGTGACAGTAGAGATAAAGAGAAGTGAATGGAATCGAGATATAGCTTGCATATTAAATTGACAAGATTTGCTTAGGAACTGGATCTGAGAGTAGGGAAAAATGACTCCCAGGTTGGTGGGAGCAATCGTGTTGGGTGGAGAGGGCTGCCATTTCTTCAGATGTGGAAACCAGAGGAGTTTTCTAGAGGGCAGGCAGGAGGAGTGTTTGGTGAAGCTCAGAAGTCCTGTTTTGTGCATGTGTGTTGGCTCATAAATGGTGTCACCGGAACACTGAGGCTGCTGTGTCAAGGAGGCATGGGATACACATGACTGAAACTCTCAGCAGCTCCACACTGGAGGCACCAGTTCGAGAACCTTCAGTATGTGGAGGATATTTAGAGCCACAGGTGTGAGTGGGATTTACTTGAGAGAATATAGAGCAGGGAGAGTACACATTTAGAGGTTAAGTGGAAGCAGAAAACTAGCAAAGAACCCTGAGATAAAGCATTCACAAAGAGAAGAGAGAACCCAACAAGAAGTGGTTCTCTGGAAGCCAGGACCATAAGATGCTCCAAGAAGGAACAGTCAGCTGAGTCAAATACTGCTGCAAAATGGAAGATGGAGATGGTATGGTGTTTGGAATTCTGCAACATGGAGTTCGTTGGTCATTAGTTTCCTAGGGCCGCCATTACAAATTAC